TCGGGAAAAAACCCTCTAAATAAAAATATTTTTTTTATTAAAAAAATTATTTGATTTTTATCCACCCTGATACAAATTATAATGCACATGCAATGTAAAGACATCAGCTTTTAACTCAAATAAAACAAGTAAGTGGTGCTCACAGGGAGGATAATAAATCTTGACCTCCCACAGTTCAAATTGTCTTGGGGGCAGCAAGCACAGTTGGTTTCTCTTTCTTCAATATGTCAATGGGATAAATTAAATAATGTTGTGGTGCACTTAGGCCTGTTAGTAGCACTTAGTAACTGTTAAGCATGGTCAGAAAGAGTGAAGCTGAGAGACAGTATCCAATACATTTATATTTACTCCTTCCCCAGAAGCTTTCCAAAGGAGGCCTTTTTACCTTTCATTCTCCACACAGGAATATAAATTACCTCTGTATTTTAGCATTATAGAGGATTTGCTTCCTCCTCTCCTGTGGTAGTCATCTTACAGAAGACAGAGAGAAAGCAGCAGAATTAAATTTAGGACCATAGCTGGCTGAAATTTGGAATTTCCAAGTCATGAGAAATTTCAACATTCAAATTTCCCCATGAACTAGAGATTCTGAAAATGGTGTTTCAAAAACACCAAAATAGCGTTTTCAAAATTAAATATGCAGGAGTGCTGGAACAATTTTTATAGGAGTGGGTGGTTCTGACAGCCACCTATATATAATGGAAACCATTTCGAAGTGGTGGTGCAGTAGCACCCCTAGTTCCAGGACACACAGGCACATGCTCCCAGGTAGTTGCTTAGTGAAACCAAAATGATTTGTCAGTTTCACTACTTTCCATCACACTGGTCAATTTCAAGGCTGCCATTCAGTCTGGGGCAGCTGTGAAATAAACATCAGCAACTGCCAGGGAATCCATAGATTACAAGTCCATGGCAGGCTGGCCACATGGATGACCCAGAGCTTGTAACCCTAGGGCTGCCAAATTACCATGCCAGCTGATCTCCAAGATAATGGAGTATAGGCAACTGTGGTGAGTCTGGGTCCACAGCAGGCAGCCTGGAATACCCAGCTAGAGAGATGAGGCTCTCAGAGCTTCCCTATGGTGCTGGAAGTTCAGATCCTGAGCTACAGGTTGAGGCTGGGATGCCATGGCCCCATCGGGAAGCACAAAAACCCTAACAGCTCTGGATGGAGCTTTCATGGCTTCCAGCCTCTACTGTAGAGTTGGGACCTCAAAATTCATTTCTTCAAAGGATGAACAGAAGGATTTGCTTAGATTTATAAAAGAGCACTTTGTTCTTTACTGTCAGGTTTATGTAGCAGTGAAGTAGAACAAAACAGAAGTAATCCACCAAGGATTTAAAAAAAAAAGGCTTCCCTGTTTTGGATTCTATATGTAGATGTGTGTGTATATCCATATCTAATGTACGATGGTTGGTGTTTTTTTCCCATTTCTGTGCATGTGCATACGCGCTCTCTGCAATTCTGGTCTTTCCTGGTCTGGTTAGAGGACCTCCCTGTTGGATATATTTACTAATGAGGCAGAGTGATAAATTAAACACATTCTTCAAAATATCAGTCAGGAAAGAAACCAGGGTTTAAACCCCTCCCCCCGAAGGTGTTACACTAATGAGCTTTCATTTTGCAGAATAGGCAGCTTGGCAGGCCGCATCCAGCCCACAGGTTGTACAGGCAGTCCCCGGGTTACGTACAAGATAAGAACAAACCTACAGTCCCTAAGTTGAATCTGTATGTAAGTCGGAACTGGCGTCCAGATTCAGCCGCTGCTGAAACTGATCAGCGGCTGATTCCAGGAAGCCCGGGGCAGGAGCTTCCTGTAGTCAGCCC